TAAATTTAGTCGAATTCTATCGATAGTGAATATAAATGGCTAGCTCAAAGTAACGATTCAACGTGTTTTAATATTCAATGAATTATCTAATAATCTGTAAAGTAATATTCGAAGAGAAAGGTCTCGTAATGAACTGTGGTTATTAGATCGAGGACTAGACGATTCAATCATAATTATCGAATTACAAAGTATTGTCAGAGTCGTCCCAATTGTTATCTTATACAATGAAGACAATATCAATATATTATCTTCTATTTTTATTCGTGAAATTCTTTATAAATATCAAGGGCATTGGAAGTTAAGAAGCATCAAATATTCCTACAAGCATCCTTCGGAATTTGCGCTACTAAAAATACCAGAAATGAACTTTCCAATTTACAAGTTATACATCAACCTTTATTACAACAATTTTGGAACGTATCGCAACATCTATCACTCACTTGAGGTGTGTATGTCCAAATTGGTAATTTATCTTTTAATAAAAGAAAACAACTTAAAAATTACTTTGTCATTAGGTTCATTCCATTTGGCAGTTGTTTTAATAATTTTATTGTGCTTTTTATAAATGAGATGAAGGAATTAAAAAAAGAATCATAATGAATATGCAAGGAAACAAAAGCCTTGTTATTGCAAGTCTCGGAACGTGACAGCTGATCTGCCGCAGGGAAATGACTTAGCTGAAATTAAAAGACATGGTGCTTTAAGAGGATGCCGTACATGTAATATAATGAGAGATTCTTGGACTTCAGATGATCTTGATTTATCAATGGTTTCCCGTTATCACCATCTTACCAATAGTCAATTTGAAGAAATTTCTTCAGCACTAATATTAAAAGGATGTAAGGAACTTGCCACTAAATATGGATTATATTTACAACTGCCAATACTTGATAGATTAAAAAGAGAGAGTCACCACAAGATGTCTATCATCTTATAGCTAGTAAAGTGTTAAGATTTTTAAAGATAACAATTGAAGTGCTTTAACGGAGGGAAAATCAATGTTTATAAAATTTTAAAAATCTTTCAAATATCTAAAAACATGGCAAAAATTGCCTAATCCTATCTCACATCTTGACAGTTTTATGATATCAGATTGTCTATGTCTAGCTATGGTAATACCGTTTATTCTTAATAGATTTTTAGAACCTTTATATTTCAAATCTTCTGAACTTAGTTCATTTCAGCAACATACAGAAGTTTCTCGAAACGATTCAGCTGTAAAGCTTTGGTTGAAATGTTAGGTATTAATGGCTAAAACAATGACCATAGCGTTTAAACAATTTTTCACAGATACCGATTATATTGAATTGCACGAATGTTTAGATAATGAAAGAAAATTATTTTCACAGGTAATTAACTAAAAAGTCTATACGATCACATAATAGAGCATAAAATTGGATTGATTTTTATTAAATTTTATGGTGTTTGTGTAAAACATATATGGGTTGTTGCAATTTATCCCATTTATTATATATTATCTTATTATATTTATAATACAACAAAATTCAAGTTATAACATTATTTATAATAGGGCTAAAATGACATATTAAACCAGGGCTACTTGCAAATTAGCAATCTTGATTCATATTATTAGTAAACATGATATTCTTATTTGTTAGCTATAGTAATTGTTCGCAGTAGCTTAATACGTACTAATTTTGAAGCATCAGAAAGGCACCTTAAACAATGTATAGTGGCGCAGTTAAATAGCCACTATTTCAATATGCCATTTCAACCTTGAGTTTAGAAATATATATAGTTTTTATAGTCCCTCACATTAATATCGCACAATCCAAAATTATTACTTTGATCGCTGTAATTAATAAACATTAATTGCTAAATATTGTTATTAATATAAATAATACATTCATTAATAATAAGCATTCAAGGATTTTGAGAATCTTCCAAATTTATATGCAAATTACCATTTAGTACAGCATGCAAAGAATTATACAACTTTGTTAAATACAAGCGTAGAGACAAATAAAATGATTCACTGGCTATTTAAAAATAATATGTCACAAATAAATCACAAAAATATAGACCTCGATTTGTTAAAATGATATACAACATTATTTGCAATATGCTATCTATTTAATGGTGATATTGACAGATGCTTTCTTTCTATAAACAACATGTTGATAAATCTTCCACATCAATTTAAACGTTTAGTAAATGATTGGTTTATTATCAAAAAATCTTATGATCCTGAAGACACAAATGAAGGTTTAATTGAATTGTCTTCTTTGAATTTTTTGTTTTTTTTGATTAATAATTTTATATTCTTTTTCTTTGTTAGAGCACATCTCAAATATAATCTTGAAAAAGCGTATACCAAGAAAAAGAGTTAAAAATTTGCTGAATAGTTTCGACTTCTGTAGAGAACTTGCATTAGTATATCAAGAAATTGGTTATGAATCAGCTTTTTTTAAAAGTTCATGTCGATATTATAAACTCGCTTGTTTTTCAGTAGAAGACGATGGGATGGATTATCATCTGCATGTTGGTAATGTCATAACTATAATTTCTGAAAAGGATGGTAAAAGCTTTTTTGCGATTCTATGATCAATTTTTAGCTATAAAAGGAATGATCAATGTTTTGCTTTTTTTATTATTGATAAATTTGAATTTACTAGTCAAACAAAGTTAGAATGCCCAGTCTATAGGCTTCAAAATACATGAAAGATTTGTTCTATAAGTGAAGTTGACATGAACAGTACAGTACATTTTATTTATTATTGTAGAAATAATGAATGTATTAGAGATAGTGACCATAATTTTTTGATAATGGGCTATACATAAAAAATATATATTTCTTCAAAGCTGTGTAATATTACGATCACAAAATGTATGTCTCCTATTAGAAAGTTCAAAGAGTATTTTTTTTCTAGCTACATGTTTTTTATTATTACTATTAGGGTTGGTCTGGATCAATCTTTGACCTGATTGAAGGGTTTGATAAATAGTAAATTATATACAACTTTATGTATATAATATATTTATTCAATAAATTTAATTAATAGAATTGACTTTTGACCATACCAATTTGACAAAGACTTTTGACTATTGGCTAGTAGATTTTTGACCAATATGTATATAAAGTGCTGTAGCAGTTCTAGTTATAAGATTAAATTGGGTCTTACGTCAGAAGATCACAGGTATTATCACTGCTATATAAGCAATTTTTTTGCAGTGTACTATATAACTTAACTTTCTTACACTCTTAAAAATAGGTTACATTGTTACGTATGTTACGTATGTTATGAGGACAACAGCGGTCTATATCAAGGTTCGACAATTTCTACTTTTATGATTTCAAAACTTTTTTAAACTCAAAGTTGGTTTATTAGTCTGTTATTCTTAACTATTCTAGTTGTGTTGATTTTGGTTATTTTTCTTTTTCTTATCATTCTTTTTAATACTGTATCAAGAAATTTTTGAACTTGCCCTATCTGAAAAATAGATCTGTTAATAACATCTTTCTTCTCTTTATAGAACTTCCAATTGGTGCTAGAATGTATCTTTGCTTTCAATAAAATGTCAGTATAGCGTGTCATTTTCGTAATACTTTTTTTTTTCACCAAAAATTAACAACTTATAATATAGGAAGTATAAGACAGTTTCGAGCTTCAATTTTTAATCAGTCCTTGTTTCAGTTTTTCGTAGCTATCTTCCTTATGTTCTTGATCATTTCTCCACATATTCATCATTTTAGTTCAGTTAGTAGATTTTCCATTATATTTATTATAATGTTTTACAAACTTTACTAAATCATATTTTTACTAAACAATCTTCTCATTATAGCTTGACCTTTAATTGCATGATAATTACAACTCATTTTCATTATAACAAAGGGTTTATAGGTAAATTAGATATAGAATTTTTTCAATATTAGTTATATTGATGTTTTATTTTTCTTAGCCTAACAACTTTACTATAACAAGGGTAGTTGTACTAAAGCAATTCTTCTTATCAACATTTGAGCTCTAATCTTGATTTAAATCCTGGTAAGTATGTTTCACTTCAATTTATCTTAATTCTATCTTTAGTTGGTTGATAATGACTTTGTTTTTTATCATACTTCTATCTCATTTTTTGATTAATCTTATATTTTCTGAATCGATCTCAGTTATATGATGAGTTATATATGTAATTAGCATTTCTTACAGATATGTACTAATTCTTGTTATAAAATTTCTTTTTTATTTCTTTTGGTGTTTTTATTAACAATTTTATCAATCTTCGTAGATTTTTTCTGGCTATTTTTTTGTATCAAAAATTTTACCTTTCGCATGTTTGAATATGCTGTTATAGAGACAAAATTTACAATTTATTTTAGAAAAATTCTATTTTTACCCAGGTTAAAGTCATCTGATATATAATTTTTATTATACTTTATAATATAAATTCATATAATATCATAAAATTCATCTACGCTAACCTCTAACTAACCAATCTATAGAATTTTTAGTTGGTTATAGTAGTTTGTATTATATAGTATAATGGAATTATATCTTGGGTGACTTTAATTCAGTTGAAAATAAAATTTCCTTTAGATTTAAAATAATTTGATTATTTTTTATTTTAGGTCTTTTATATGATATAATTTCTCTGTATAACAAAACTTTTCTATTTAATAACCAGGCACATCTTATTGAAGCAACTGAAATGATCAAATTTATACTATTGATGGTATTGTAGAAAAAACCAGTGACTGTTTAAGGTTTATCATAACAAATTTAACCCATAAAAAATTAAGATTATGTATCGATAATCTGTGTTTTTGTAGTTTCAGAAATATAATTTATACATAAGTAGATAGCTTATAGTTCCAGGTATTATATAGCATATGATAAGATAAGAAAGAATTAATGTATATAGAAGGCGACAAATGGAGATACTCTTTATTAAAGGTGTGAAATGTGACTTTGAAGAGTATCTTTTTATTTATTTTTCAGGTTTTATTTAGCAACTACTAACTATTTCTATTTTTAGAAATATAACCTTGGCATCACTAATCTAAACAAAAAAAAATTTGCTACTAACATTTGGTTTAGGGTTTGGATGTATTTTGTTTTGACTTCATACTACACTGATCTTGCATTTTAATTTGATTAGATAGCTAAATATTTAGGTTTATGATGTTCTTTAGAAATTTCTAACTTTATTTAGTTCTGCATATACAAGATAAGTTTTAATACATTTAAGTAATTTTTTATATATTTTCAAGGCTGACAATTACTTTATTTATTTTAGATATTTTTCTACCATATTTGTATAAACCAATTGCCTTTGGCTTTGATATTGGGCTTCACGAATAAGTTTCGCTTCGATTTGAATATTTTGAATCTGCTATGTTACTTAATCATTTTTTTCTTAACTAATACCTATCTATTCGTTATTTCACCCTTGCAACTCTGAAATCTGGATACATATCATATCTACTGATTTGATTTTTAGAGGTCTTTTTTCCAAAAAAATTGTTACATTAAATGATGTGAAGAATAACAAATATAACATTTATTAAAAATGTTTTTTTAGCCTCTATATAAGATAAATAAGCAAAATATACTAAAAACAGCTATTCTAAGCCATAAAGAAAGCACTATCACTAGTTTGTAAAGCATTCAAGTATTTTTGGATAGTGAACGATCAGTTGTATAATGGGTAAGAGTGAATTCAGATGCAATTTTTGAGAGAAAAAATGACCTTTCTAACTTACTTTTAGCTAATAATTAAATATGTAGATATTGCAAAATTCTATATACTTAATTATAGATTCAAAGTAAGTTAAAAAACTGTTTTTGTAAAAACTTACTCTAATAACTTTAACGCAAATAATTCTAATTTTGGAGTCAAACAAATTGGTCGATATGTAGTTGTATTCTATTCATCCTAGTTCTGATTTTGTTGTAACATGTTGGTCTTTTGATTGAC